TATATATATATATATAAATTTAAATAATTATTATTTTAATATTTATTAATCTTGTAACTAATTATTTTGGTGTAACTATTTAATATATGTAGTCCTTGTGTTTCCACTCTTGTAATGGTCTTGTTGTGAGTTCTCTAAGCACGACTAATAGTGCTAGAGCTCACATAGCTATAGATGATTGCAATGGTGCAAGATTTGCTCATATGAATGTTAATGCTCCTGAGAACAGTCCTAACACTGATGGCTTTGATATTGCTAATTCCAAATATATATCGATAGAAGATTCTACTATAGCAACTGGTAAACTAAACTAACAAATACACAGTATTCAATAACTTGTTACACATGCAACTTTAATTTACCTTACATTTTGAAATAGGTGATGATTGTATTGCCATCAACACTGGTTGCTCCTTCATCAATGCTACCAGGATTTTTTGTGGACCAGGCCATGGGATAAGGTTTATATAATTTTTATCTTAATTGGTTGCTCTAATTTTTACTTATATGGTACTTTAAGTAATAAAAAAATCAATTTATACATGAATGTTAATAAATAAATGTATTTAATTTTTACGATTTTAAATTAAATATACACTATTTTATAAAATATCTTTGATTACACTTATATAGTAAAATAGAGTTTTTATTTATTATCTATTTATTTTAGGAGTATTTTTGAATTAAGAATATTAAATAAAATTGATTTGATTGAAATTTGTTTATATATTAGTCCACAAATTTAATTTTTTTTCCTTATATATTGTAGGTCCAAAGAGTAGTTTATTACACCTAATTGATAGTTTAAATATATGCAAACGGATCTTCAACTTAAAAAATTGTGTTAAATATTTGACAATGTTTTTTTTTTTTCTTTCAATTTTGTTATTCTTATTTTTGACAATTCTAATGCATCAAACATATTTATGAATGAATCAGTGTTGGCAGTTTGGGTAAAAATGGAGCTAAAGAGATAGTTGAAGAGGTTTATGTATATAATTGCACCTTCATTGGGACTACAAATGGAGCAAGAATCAAAACATGGCCGGTGAGTCTAACTAAATAATAAAGACTTTTTTTTTAATATATTGTTTTTTATTTATTTATTTAAATAACTTGGGCCCATTATTATTTACCTAAATAACTCAATTTTGAGGATCAGGTGAGAAATTGGTTACCTAGTATCTGATTTTTCTATTGAGCTTTTTTTTTTTTTTGTTTTGTTTTTTTTTTTTCATTTTTTGGTTTTTGTTTTTAGATTTTTGGGTTTTTTTTCTCATTTTTTGTTTTTGTTTCCAGATTTTTATATTTATTTTTTCGTTTTTCAATTTTTAATTTTCAGATTTTAAAAATTTATTATTAATAATTAAAAAAAATTATTTAGTTTAGTTATTAGAATATAAAAAATATATTTATTATTTAAATTCAAATATTTTCAAAAATATTGTTTTGATTAAAAAAAGAAATATAATTAAAAAATAGAGATAATTTAATTGAAAATTGTCAAATAAAATATGTATTAAAAAATATATTTTAATAATGAAATTAAATTTTTTAAATATACAAAAATTAATATTATAATTTAGTAAATCATTTGTTAAAATTATAAATATGTTAATTAAGAATGACATTGATTTACATGCGTCAGAAATCAAATGCTAGGGTTTCAGAGTGTCATTGATGCAATGTGTCATTGATGCAGTGTGTCATTAATGACTGTGTCATTGATGTAGTGTGTCATTGATGCAGTGTGTCATTGATGACTGTGTCATTGATGCAGTGTGTCATTGATGTAGTGTTTAAGGTTTCAGAGTGTCATTGATGAAGTGTTAACGGTTGATGAGTGTAATTGATCGAACCTTATCTCCACCTTCTATTTAAATAAGACCATTCTTGGGTTCAAATGTAAAGTGCAATTGAGCCAAGTATTCTTGTTTTCGTGTGTTAGTCTTTGTCTACAACAATGTCTTCCTCTTCTTTCCATGTGTTAGTCTTCTTCAATGGTGAAATCACTCAAAGAAACAAAGGGGATACTTTTGTATCCTCTAACCCAATGTTTTTATCAATTAGTTCATGTATCACACTTGACGCGTTGAAAGCTAAGATTCAAAGAAAACTCAATTTACCACAACCACATTCAATTGATCAATTTTACTTTCAATATCCACAAGTGGTACCGGAGGAATGTTTAATTTCTAGGCTATCAAGCTTACCGACGATGAAGACGTTCATGGTATGATTCAAATGATTCGTGCCCTTAAACATCTTACTTCTGTTCAATTATATGTAGATCTCACACTAATAAATTCTTCTTATGAAAATCAATCTTCTTCCTATCAAAACCAACCTTCTTCCTATGAAAACCAACATTCTTCCTATAAAAATATCCTTTGAGAAACCGGTTACCTAATAACTGATTTCTCACCTAAGCCTAAAAAATGGGTTATTTAGGTAAATAATAATGGGCCCAAGTTATTTAAATAAATAAAAAAATAGTATATTAAAAAAAGTCAAATAATAAATCATAATCCTTATTAAATTGTAAATAAAATCATATTATTTATTCTTCATGTTTTATTTTAAAATATGTCATCTTATCTTCTCTCCATATGTAAAGAACAAAACAATGAATTATTCTTTTTTTATCTCATTTTTTCACTATTTAAGTATTTTTCTAATACTGTCCTATTTTATACAGGGTGGATCAGGTTATGCAAGAAAAATCACATTCGACCAAATCATACTAAAAGATGCTATAAATCCAATAATTATAGACCAGAACTATGGCACTAAAGGACCAAATGCCGGGGTGAAAACATGAATATTTGCATTCACATTATTTCTTGTGATTTTAACTTGTTTATTATTTATTAGTTACAACAATTATGTTTTGAATTTGGACAAAATAGGAGAAAGCAGTCATGGTGAGTGAAGTGACTTATCGTGGATTTGATGGAACTTCGGCTAGGAACTTGGCAATAGACTTAAAATGTTGCACATTGGGTTGTTTCGGTATTACATTTGATCAAGTTCACATTATCTCTTCACAACCCAAAAAATCAACATATGCTTTTTCTAGTAATGCCCATGGAATAGTTATCAATACTGTTCCAAAAGTCTCTTTGCCGAAATGAATTCAGAAACTTCTGGGGCTATAGTGAAATGAAGATTTAATATATTAGATACTAGTTGATCTTTTAAATTAACTTGTTATGTAAATTTTCTTCCTTTTCCCAAAATAAGAATAATGCCACCTGGATGGCCCTAAGATAATGATGCTACCCAATTATATAGGCTATATACAGTAGCATTTGAATAAAAATTTAATTTAGCTTTTCTTATTATATGTTTAATAAAAAAGCTATTTGCTTTTAATCTCTCTTTAATCATTATGATATTTATCAACAAAATATTTGTTTTTCTCTAATTAATTAATATTTTATAGATATTTATTTTTATAACATTAAAAGCTTATTTTGGCTCGTTAAAAAATATGGCGTACATTATTTGGTAGACTAAAAGGGAAAAAATAATATATTTTAATGATTATGATATTGTTGATTTATTTTATTTTTCATTCCTTAATTTTTCAATTTTTATTATTGTAAAGTGTAGCATCTCAGTCACACTAAAATGAGAGAGATTGTATTTGTGTGAGATTATATAATTGATAATGACTTAAAATAGATCTAATCAGTATTTTCTATATCAACAAGATGCATATACTTTTCACACTACAACAAATGAGCTAAATAATGGAGATTAATTTTACGTTTAGTGGAGGTTTTTATCCTCCACAAAATAAATCGCAAAGATTTTCAAAAACCTCTACAGTTACATTCATCATAAGCAATTATTGATGCTTTTTTAGAAATCTCTCGTATTGTGAGTATAAACTTCATCTTAGGCAAAATATACTAGTAGAAAATATACTAGTAGAAAATTTATCCAAAACAAGAACGGATAAACTTCATGCATCTTGCTCTTTACTCCCAAATAGCACTTCCTAAATATTTCCTATCATAAAATATACTAGTAGAAAATTCCATGTAACCTCACTACCTTATTTATGTATAACTCTATCAATCTTGCCAATGAACATCTAATATTAATAAGAGTAAGGTGGGCAAAATTGGTGAGTCTATCCGCTATAAACCAAAAGGAATCAAATTTCTTAAGCGTCTTAGGCAAACCTACAACCAAGTTCATCGACACACCATCTCACTTCCATGCTAGAACGTCTAAAGAATGTCCTAAAGACTTCTGGTGTTCTACCTTAAAATTTTGGCATACTAAACACGAGTACACAAATTTCTCTTCTTCTCTCTTCATCTTAGGCCACCAGAACATCTTTCTACTGTCCTGATACATCTTAGTAGCTCCTGAGAGAATACTAAGAGTACTCGTATGTCCTTCTTCTAAGATCATCTTCTTAAATTCAGGATTACTAAGCACCCAAATTTTAATTTCAAAACAACATCAACTCCTACTCGAAAAGGGTTATCTATACTCCTGCTAATATTCTCCACTTGGTTCACTAAGAAAGGATCTAACTCCTGGGCTTCTCTAATCTCATCCATCAATTTACCAGTCATTTCAACATACTCAATCTAATGTTCCTAGGGGTAAGTTCACACGTCAAGCTTAAGTCTATGAACTCCTTTATCATATCCAACCCTTAAATCATCCAAGATGATAGGTGAAAAGTCTTTCTACTCAAGGCATCTACTACTATATTATCTTTACTTCTATGACCTTCTCCAATAATCAAGTACCTAAGCGTAAGTTCACTAAGTACACATACCCGGTCTCTAAGTCTTACCACTCCATCTATATCCAAAGTAGATTTCGTTTTACTATCTTGTCCTATAGCCTCACATTTTGCCACCAAAATGAATCATTTAATTGTGCTTCTCCAATTTTCCTTCAATAATCCACTAATTACTCGAGTCATGCCTAGTTATTCATACCACTAGGAGTGATCTCACTAGTCAAACTTAAATCCCTAAATTGAGCCAGAAGATCCATCTTTCTAATCATAAGGGAAGATAACTATGCAGATTTCCTACTCAAAGCATCGGTCACCACATTGGCTTTGCCTAAATGACAATTAAGATCAAAATCATAGTCCTTAAGAAATTTTAACCATCTCCTTTGTCTCATATTGAACTCCTTCTAGTCAAAAGATACTTAAGGTTCTTATGATCACTAAATACCTCAAGCTTAGAATCATATAGGTAGTATCTCCAAATTAAAATGTGAATACCCCAGCCGCTAACTCAAGATCATGGGTAGGGTAACTTCTCTCAAATCCAACTTAGAAGCATCATAATATACCACAAAAGACTTACTAAAATCCAGTAATATTAACACTGACATACTAGTCAATCTTTCCTTAAGAGTTTGGAAACTACTCTCACACTTACTATCCCACATAAAGGCAAGTCTCTCTTCTTGGTCAATCCAGTCAAAGGTTTATAATGTTATCTTAGAAATTTCCTCAATAAATCTCCTATAATAATAAGTTAATCCAAGAAAACTCTTAACCTTACTAATTGACTTAGGTATTCTCCCACTTAAGCACAACTTCTACCATAGATAGATCTACATTATACCTCCACTAGAAATTACAAGACCTAGAAAACTCACTTCATACACTCAAAAATCATACTTAGATAACTTAGCCTAAAGTTGTCTTGGATATATCTTCACCCTTAACTCCAATATGATGATATCACACCTTAAGGTCAACCTTACTAAACACACAAACATCCACTAATTGATCCATAAGGTCATCTATCCTCATATCAACATACACGTATATCAAATCATATTAGAATACCTACTTTAAACATTCATATATACCATCCCTAAGCATGTACGAATCAATCACCATTTACTCCATATAGCATGTACATGAACCAACTTTACCACATAGCATCATACAACCTTAAACAAGCTTTCAATCCACATGACAACGCCTCAGAACTTCATAACCAAATTAGTTTTTATCATTGCATTGCCTAACAACTCAAAAACATTATGACAGCATACATCTCCCTTCAACAACTATCAAAGAAAATGACACACAGAGAGTTTCACTCATCCAAATAAGGTCAAACCTGTCTCAAAATAAAGATAAGAGAATAAGCCAAAAATCCTATGAAGACATGAGATTCTAAAAAGATCATCTTCTTAGCTAAAAATTTCAAAATCACAGCAGATATATTCAGCGCTTACAGCTAGACCTTTGTTCACTAAAACAACCATAACTAGAGTTATAGATCTCCGTTTTACATGATTCCGGTGCCATTGGAAAGATAACATCCAAAGCTACAACTTTTATGAAGACCACATAAGCTATTTATCTCAATATAGAACTTGTACTGGCGTGATAAAACTGCAGCGAAGACATCCCCTGCACCAGACAACAAAAGAGTGCACCAAAGTCCAAGACCACGAAAATACCTTATAATACTTCCAAACTCACTTCTTTCCATCCCAAACTCATACCCAAGCTTCTCACTACAATCCTAAACCAAATCAATTCACATATTCCACACAAAAGACTTAGAGCTGAAATAAAATCTACATGCAACCTAAACCATAAAAAATCAACATGTAAGCATCAAAACTCAAGAAATCACCAACACTTTGGCCTTTCATCAAGAACACTCAAAACTCCAATTCTCAACATACAACCTCCTTGGATTCAATCGCTACAGCTATAGATTTTGAAAACTCCATCAACCATAGACTCTTAATACCTTTGACAAATTAATGTCTCAACGAAATCTAAGGTCCCAATAGTTTCTTGTTGATTAGCACAATATTTCGTCTACTACTACTTGTACATGTGCTCGCAACACGAGTGATACCACCCAACTTCTACTTCTTACATAAGCAAGAAGTATCCAAAACGAATAAGCAATCATGAGAATGAAGAAAGTAATCATAAATAGTATCAGCTAAGCTATATCATACCTACCAGCCATATTTTGAGAAGAGAAACACCCAATTAAGAACAACAACAACAACAACACAAAGAAACATCATCATCATCATCATCATCATCACAAAGCAAGGCATCATCATGGTACACAACAAGAAAAACACTATCAGAGTACACAACAAAATCATGATGAACACATAACACACATCCAGTTTGAATCAACCAGGCTCTGATACCACTAAATTGACACCCTCTACCCTGCATACCATAACACCTAAATAATAAAATTTGAATAACACAATATTTCGTTTTTAAAATACCAAACGTGTTAAGATAGAGAGCACCACATCCATGAGTTAAACAAATAACATAATCAGTGGAAATTACAAAAAAAAAATAAGGCTAAGGTTTTCAACATAATTTAATAGAAACACCCTCACCATAGGGTAGGTTGCTGTTGGCCATTTTTGAAATCTTGATTAACACTCAAGAACCTTGATCTAGATACCAATTGTTAGAAAAAAATGGCTCAATCCAAGAGAGAGGGTGAATTGGATTCTATGACACTTAAAAAATTTTCAGAGTTCTAAGGATCTTTATTTAAACTTAAATTTTTCTAATATGAATTCTCAAAGAAGTTCCTTGAAAGACTTGCCAATGGGAATGAGTCCTATATGCTTTCTTGATTAATCTTGATTAAGTTCAATGTTAAGAACAACTAATATGCAATACTTTGATTAAGTTTAAAGCAATGTTATTCATACAAACATATTAATCAAGACCATCCAATTTAACACTCAACCAAGATTTTGCTCAATGTAAAAGATAAGAGTGAGAGAGAAGAATGCACAAGTATTTTGTCATAGTTTAGCCACTCCACATATGACCTACATCTAGTCCTCAATCATAACCTGATCAAGATTTGTTCCACTATCTCAATGAAGAAGTTTTACAAGCATACCACACATGCATATACTCCTACATTCAAGATAACCACTTTCTTGCCCCCAAGAAAGCACTTCTTGTAGAAACTCACTACAAGAATTCCTTACCACTTGAGACACCTACTCAAGATTTCCCTTACACTTTACACAAGGAATTAAAGGAACGAACTCACCTGGAAGCTGAACAAATCAAACTGTGAATTCTAAAAGCAAATCTTAATCTTCCTCTCCCAAGAAT